CTCTTGACCACTCTTGACCACTCTTGACCACTCTTGACCACTCTTGACCACTCTTGACCACTCTTGACCACTCTTGACCACTCTTGACCACTCTTGACCACTCTTGACCACTCTTGACCACTCTTGATCACTTTTGACCAATCTTGACCACTCTTCTTAACCACTCATCTTAACCACTCATCTTAACCACTCTCAACCACTCTGCTTAACCACTCTTCTTAACCACTCTGCTTAACCACTCTTCTTAACCACTCTGCTCAACCACTCTGCTGAACCACCCTTCTTAACCACTCTTCTTAATATAGTCAATGATGAAGAGAATTGCTAACTCGCGATGTCTGGTTTTCTGGAATGCTTAAGCAAATGGCCGTTGCCTTTTACATCGATGATGGTAGCTCTAAGTTTATACCCACAGAGCCTATCCTTGGCGAGGGACCAACCATGCAGGTGTATCTGTTTTATTCTTTGAGGTCACCAGAAGGACTGCGTGACATCTAATCACCAAAGCCGTGGGCATACATAGACTTGATATATTTCTATTCTCTCTGAACTAAAAGAAAGTTTGCTGACTACTAGCATCGTACATGCTTTATACAACTTGTTCTTGGTAGCTATCACTAGAGAATGACGAGCAGTAGGCAACAGGCCGCGGTGAAAAATCTGCTGTTACAGTATCGTATTGCACTCAGAGGACCCGATCGCTGTGCACACGCTCAAAGCCTGGTATAGCATCAATTGAAATATCTTTCTATAAAGTAGCTAGGTCCTAAAAGTTTCGCAGATAAAATGTGACATGCCCATGGTGGCGTTCCTTGGCGATGGCATACGCCGTTTGGCCATTCGAATCTTTCAGTCGCTTTTTCACACCACGCCGATTGGCCAACAACTGCACAACCTCATAATGCCCACCAGCCGCAGCCCACCAGAAAGATGTTCTCCCCTGGTCGTCCACCGCATTCACATTTATGTTGGGACGCTCCAATAATATTTTGACAATTTCAAACCTGCCTAGAGCCGACGCAAACATTAGCGCAGTAAAGGAGGAGCAATGGTTTTGGTCATTGATCAACAAAGATCCTTCGTAGCTGACTAGGAGATGGACAATGTCGACATGCTCCATAATTATTGCGACCTGAAGTGGCGACGTCCCCGATGGGCTTATTTGGTTGATATCGACTGAATTCTGCAAGAGAAATTCCACCGTTGCAAATTGTCCTGCGCGACATGCTGACCAGAGCGGCGGAAATGCATCGGTAAATTGAGGGCTTTTATGAGGCCCCGGCTGTCGGAAGAGGACTTTGATCAAGTCTAAGGAGCCATTCGCAGCAGCCTTTGCCAAAGGTGTATGGCCCAGCTTGTCGGCGCAATTGAGGTCCAGATTTGTTTGCTGCAAGAGGAGCTCGACCAATTTGACGTCGGAATTGCTCACCGCATACCATATTGCGGTGCGTCCATTCTCATCTTGATGATTAAGGTTGAGGCATGGACTCAAAAGCAAGGCTTCAATGATAAGCAGCCGTTTGTTGATGGGGAGGAAACGGCCGTGTCCTTTGACAGCCAGAAGCAACGGAGTTTCCTGTCGACGGTTGAAACAGTTGACGTCAACTCGAGGATTTCGTACAAGCATTTGGATTGCTCCATAGTCGCCAATTTCTGTCGCTAGGTGCAGTGGTGTTTGGCCATGATGGTCGCAGATGTTGACATTTGTTCGCTCATCAGACAAAAGAAGTTGGAAGACATAAGTTTGGCGACAGCTCAGCGCAATTGAAATGGGCGCAATCCCGTCCAGTGATTGGTTATTGAGATCAATGTTCGGTACATTGAGGAGCCGTTCGATAATACTGACGCTTCCTTGCAGAACAGCGATCGAGAAGGCACTTTCTCCCAAAGTATTACGCTGTATGACATTCACTGAATGATGGCTTAAGAGCAAATCAACAGCTTCTGAGTACCGCAACTTTGTAGCCAACATGAGTGGTGTAAGGCCAGAAAACTTTCGGTTGACATCTGCCTTTTCCCAACCCAGAAAGTGTTGGACGATGCCTAAGCTTCTATGTTCGATTGCCCAATGAATTGGCGGGGTGTCTTGAAAGTCTATGCAATCAATGAGGCTCTTACTGAAGACGACGTAGGATTTCCGGGATGTGAGACACAGACTTCGAAGGTCTTTCTTGTCGATGGACTTGCCAATCCACAGAAGTAGTTCCAGTGGAAGTCCCAAAAGCGGCATCTCGGTAGATTGTGTGAACGTATAGGTAACGACTACCTATGCAGATGATAATAAAAGGAGGGCTCAGAGTAATAATTTAGAGATCAAGTTTGCCACCGCGAGTGGTTGGCGGAGGAGCTTGGGAGGCGCATTTCTTTGTGGTGCTGGCTTCTATTTAACTATTTTTGAGGGCATATTATCGCAGCCAGTGCCCTAAATAACGATATCACCGACACGGAGTTACCTAAAAGTGTTGAGTCACCAGCTCCTAGGATCGTGCTATTTGCTCCTGGGAGCCCTAAGAAACCCGGGAGACGGCTATAGTCCCAGGTAACACTCACCGATTCCTGGGAGTTATGCATCGTACCTGAGACACTAATATGACGGACATACGAAAGCCGAGTCACCTAACTCCTACGATCTCTGTTTCTTGTCTCAGGGCCAAGTGGCGCCATTGTGACCAACATACAAAGGTCAAGCGCCTCGCCAGCCATATTACAAGTTCCTCCAACCCACAAGTGTACCATCTTCCAGTTACATCCAATATTAGCATTTCTCGAGCATTCAACTTTGCTATAATCTGCTAACGGCTCCCACTTCCACGGATTCTATCCTATCATTTTCATTCAAGAAACAAACAATGGGCCAATACTGGCTGGTGGTTTGCCCGTCCAAACGCGAGTACACAACACAGTCATTTGGTGGGAAGTTATCAGAGTTGCTCTTTTCGTCGTGGTCCAACATACTGCGTGACCTGATTGAAAACGAGTGGGCTGGCACTCAGCTCATCTGTATTGGGGATTACTTAAATCCAGACGACCTCCCTGCCACGATTCAACAAGACAAGTTCCACCTGAGTTCCGCTGAGAGCGGTGCAACATCCGAGCCCCTCCGCTACGATGTCGTTGAGAAAACGTTTGGATTTTGGTCTTACGAAGAAGAGAAAGCAGCGACTCTCACGGTCATGGAAAAAGCTTCCAATCCCAAAAGTCGAGTTCTGAGGAACTTAACTACCGGTGAATATTTCTTTGAGGACGCGTTGCCATTTGGAATCACCATTGGCCACATAGTTCTGATGAGTATCTGTTGGTCGTCGGAAAGTTCAACAGGCATTACGGGCGGAACATATCTGGCCAAGGGAGTCTGGGCTGGCCACAAGTTCGACATTGTAGATGCCGACATGGTGGAACATATGAACAGACAATGGGAAGATGTCACCGAGGATGTCCTCGATGAGGTTCAGGCTCTGTGGCCGAGCGATTTCGGACACAACTCGGAAACTGAATGGAGAGTTTAACACGTCCTGGGCAAGAAGCTATGAAATCACTCGACGTAAAAGATATCCGAGGATATAATCCTAGGCTACCAAACAAATTGCCAATGAGAATATCTTTGGACACCCTTCCCGTGATACTGTACGAACAGGCGTGGCCTGTGCGACCTTCAAATCCCTGAGTTTCCTTAAACACAACGCTTCAATCGATTGACTACTCGAATTTGCTCGTCATAACCAGCCGAGGGAATGTATGGAAAATTATTATTCGAACGATAAGAGTAGAAGTTCATTCAGTAGTAAGGCTTTTAATTTAGACAAGAAGTTTCAATTCGCCTGGATAGAGTGCTCGACTGAGTGCACCATTAAATTGCTTCACAGGGTCAGGTTTCACAGAGAGTAACCCGACCAGCAATAATCCCTGCGCAGAATTTGGGACAAGAAGGCCGTCTCCGGGAGCACCCAGTGAGGTTCCTGGGTGCCAATAAATTCCTGGGGCCGCACAGCATGTTGTCATCCTAGTCGACCCACCCTTTTTTCAAGGATTTTGTCCGCAGACCAACCATAGAATTTGCAATTCCGTTTTAAACAAGTGACTGAAGTTGAAAGTTGCTTTTGACATGAGTGCTATGAGGTTTGATCTGGGAAACGTTTTCTTTATAAGGCTATTTTATGCTCATATGTATAACACCATTGAGAAGTTACAAGGATGATTGAAATAGCAATCTCTCAGAAGAAATACATATCAAAACATACATGGTACGTTACATTACGCTCCATAATTACTTACTAAGTTCTCTTCCGCATCTGTGGCGGTGCGGACCATGTAATTTTAATGTAATTATTTGTTTCATTGTAACAAGCTGGCTGTACTAAGTTTTCGCCAGAACAGCCAAGAGTTGCTCGTGTTGTTAGCCTCAAACGTCTTCTTTACCCACTGAAGCTATTTTCCGGATAGATCTAATCAAATATGTACCACTGGAAATGAATCGATTATTATATAAAGGTGTATCCGCGAGCCCGCCTAAAAGGACGCTTATCATGCTTAAGATTTGCTGCGCTTAAAGTGTAGGGTTTTGCCCCTTGAGCTTAACGTACCAAATTTACTCCTTGTAGACAAGTGTAGTTTAGCAGGCATCTGAGCGATTCATATATTAAATGATCCCTTATTCTCGCACAGCCAAAAAGTTCCAATGGTGCGACAGGGAGTCTAGGGTTTGAAGGTTGGCAGAGGGTCGGACTACCGGCTGATAGCAAATTTGTACAGACAAAGTAAAATTCCAGCACATGTAAATATTATTGACTGAAGAAATAATTTAGTTACCGTTCCAATTAGCCCGAGATCTAGTGCATCTCTGAGAAGGCTTCAATTCCATCCATGCCTGTCGCAGTAACGCCATATCAACATCCGCGAAATGAGGCCCAATCTGTCTCAGGGTCAAATTCTTCCTCTGTAGGTCACGCAACTTCCGTTTGTTCTTTGCGTTAAGCCTCTTGGGGGCTTTGTAGCCATTCAAATCACCTGGATAATGCTGAGGCGACTGGGTTTGTGATTTGGCTCTAGTGAGGGGTCTGCGAGGGCTGCTGGGAGGGACTTGGCCATCACAAGGCCGATTTTGCTTGCCTTCTTCCCGTATAAGTGGATGACTGTCGCAGCCGAATCTTGCGGTAACAGCTTGGTCATGAGTAGGCAAAGAGGTGAGATGTTCTTGCAAATCTTTCCTCTCCTCATTGGCTTCGGTGACAGCACAGTATCCAGAAGGCGGACTGGCGAAGCTTAGAGCGGGAGGTTGCGGCTGTTTTATGCCACTGACGGAAGTTGCCTCACACTCTTCATGTGGGGAGATGAGTGATTCCGGCTGGATGGCAGCTTGATCACAAGATTGGCGTGCATTATCACTGTTGAATTTAGGCGGCTCGAGGATTCGAGGATCAATGGCCTCAAGGCCAGGAGTTGTTGGCCCTGAGCTGGGTGAGGAAACTAACTCCGAGAAGCATGGTTCCACTGAGTTGCTCTTGTTGCTGACGCTATATTTGTCACAAATACTTTGCCCTGAGTATTGTTCCAGATTCCCTTCAACAGACGGGAGCAAGGCCGGGACGGGGATAGAAGACCCTTCTGACACACAGCCCTCACGCTCATGATTTAGATGCGAGTAATGATAAAATCGGGCTTTCTTAGGACGACCCTCTTGTGGGCCTGTTGAAGATATTTGGGCTTCCAACTTGCAAGTGCGCTTTCTCTTACTGGGTAGCTTTGGATTTTGCCATATGGTTTCCTTGAGGCCATGCACATCGTGTAAGTGAAGTCGGAGGTCACGCTCATTGTGGAAACTTTGGGAGCATCCACATATTGGCTTTGTCTGACAATGCCCAATTTTAGCCAAGTGCTGCCCTTCAATATGTTCCCTCAGATTGTCACTTCGCAGCCAGTATCGCAAACGCTTTTCTGCAAAGAGATCCGGGTCCCACAAACAGAAGGGGCAGTAGCCGGGACGAATGACGGTATGACGGTAGATAATTACTTCGCAGTGCTGGGCTTTCCAGGACTGAAGATGGGTATCACAATGATCCCGCCATTGACTCGACAAACACCAGTCCATGCATTCATAGCAAAACTGCATCTCTGACTCTGATAATTGAAGGCCAAATGCTTTCTCACGCCGAATACACCCGTGAATATGAGCACTTCTGTCACATTTTCTCAGACTAGCAGAGTTAGTATCTGCCAAGTTATCGTTAGATCAGGGAGCTCACCTTTCAATATTGATTTGGCAACCTTTTACAGGACAGAGGCCTTGTACTGGGCTTTCATTTGGGAGGTATACCACGTCAAAATCACGGAGACACTGCGTCTGTAGATCTTCGACAAAGAGAAGTTTTTCGTCAAAGGAAAGCTCTTTGTTTGAGGACATGGCTGTTGCGATTCGCGCAATCTCTGGCATAATCAACATCTGAGTGCGTGCGCGAATGTCATTTTCCGAATGGGTTGGCTCTTCTTTTCCTCGATTGATAACTTTCCGGTCTCTCTTCTCCTGTGCCCACCGAATTTGATATTGCCTGAGTTCGGAAAGGCGATGCCGAACGAGCGCCTTCCTGTATTCCAACTTCTTGTCCTTGAGGCGATCCTCGTCGTGGTTCTGTGCGAATGACTCGATCTGGGCTCTCATTGCCACCATATCTGGTTTTTCCAAAATACTCTCTTTGGTCTCTGCTGGCAACTCACCTGGCAAGCCACGTTCGTAATATTGAACATAACCTTGGAAGTACTCGATATGGTCGGACTGGTCTTCCTCATCTAGAACAGCTCCCACTGTGTCTATGGAAGAACAGTGGGCTTGATAATGCTCCGGGAAAGTGTTTAGCCCCCGATGCGCTAGTATCTGACTGACAGGTGCAGAGCCGTTTCTCTCTGTGATAAAACTTAGTATTAAGATCTCTCCCTTGTGTCTATTGTGTTTGTGTGGTGTAGGGGGCTTACTTTCGACTTTTTTACCAAGGTTTCGTCGTATACAATGGATCGTTGCCAATTCACCAAAGTACCCTGCAGCAGTAAAAATTTGACGCAGGCAAGAACAAAATTTTTGTTTCGTCAGAGGTGTCTCCTGAGGCCCGTCCGCCGTGGCATGTCTGAGAACTGGTTTATCCAAGTACTCTTCCTTCCATCGCAACGGAATCTCGCCATTTGAAAGATCAAACTGCGCCAGATCATCCACAGTATCCACCCCATAAATAGCACCGTGTGCTAATGCGAGGGAGAGAAGAAGGTAGCCCGACGCAAATTGCGGCCTGTTGCTGTCTCGGATACCAATTCCGAATCTAGAAGCACCAATTAGTGAAGTCCCGTATATTCGATAAACATACTACTATGGCCTTCTAACTCACACTGTGTATTTTTCACATCGATGATTTTTGAGCCACTTCTGGTCTACCTTCCAACCCACAGCCCAACGAGCTGTGGGTGAAGGAAATAGAACCAACTTGATATGCTAGAATAGAGATTAATGTTGTATAATATCGCTAGAGTAAAGACGCCTTACTTCGTATAGAAGACCTCTTTCATATTTGTCCTCGCTAGAGGGTATGAAAGCTCCGACTCTTGCTCCAGTAAAGAGATACAGCTGGAGAGCAAATAAGATGACAACTTTGAGCAGTCCCGGAATGAATGTTTGGTGATCAGTCTGCCACAAAGATGAGACTGTTCTCAAAAAATCTTGCTTTGTGAAGTTGAGTTTCTCTTTCTTTTGGTCCACAACGACGCCATCTGCCGTCAAAGTTTTTTTGATCCACTGCATCCAGGTGAGTTTAAGATGATCTCAGAGGGGAAGTTACGAATGAACCAACCATTTTTATTTCTTTTCGATCGTCTGGGACGATTTTGGTTCTTGTGAATTGTTCAAATCCACCAAAGAATCTCTCGGCATGCGCACTCACGGTTCTCACCGTGGGTAGACCATCGTCATTCAGTCGCCCTTGAATAGAATTTACGTACCAGCGAATGTACGCTTTGATCATCTCATGTGTTGGAGCAGGAGAACCGAGGGAAGTTTTATAATATTCGTACCCATTCTCCGGGTCTGCAGTGAACCTAAAGGAAGGTCAGCAGAATGCGTGAATAGGAAAGGATTGCCACTTCAGATGCTGTGTAACTCACTCGAGCCAAAGGTTCATGGTTTCTCGGTGTAATTCGTTGGTTTTGGGGAGCCTTTTGTCTTTCTCCCGAATTGAGTCCTCCTCTTTATGGGTTCCAGGGGTATAACCATTCTTTTCCCGCTGTAGACGGCGCCTCTCTTTCGCGAGTTCATCGCGCTTGGCAAAAAAGTCCTTTCGGCCCATAATTAAGTGAGGCGCGACCTGGAGGTAGGGAATGCATTCAAAGTAAAAAGAATGCGATAGTAGATCAATGCACAAGGTAAAGGCGCTTGGATAGAAGATGTGTTGATTATTACATGCTAATGCTGCCATACGGTTTGCTTTTATATCTGAGATCTTGAGCTCGAGCCGCTCTGAATTAAAAGAAAGATGGAAGCAACATCATGAAACGGATGGGGTTCTCCACTCCGTCCTGCGCTTCGTCATGACGTATCTCCTTGATAAGACGTAGTGCTCCAAAAATTGAGGGCAGCAGCAATGCTATCAACGAACTATCACAGTATAGACGACCCTGTGAGGGCTAATCCCTTCTGGGTATAGTCTGCGGTGGGCTGAGTGCATCAGTGTTGCTCACTGATTGGACACTGAGCATCACTGAGTAATCAGGGAGCACCCAATGAGCACTCACTGAGCACTCACTGAGCATCAGTCATTCTGCACGTGACTGATCTGAGCATGATCACTGATCTGAGCCCGTGCTGACATCTACTCAGTGAGCCTGAGCCTGAGCACCCTCATAAAAGCGGCGGCAGCTCAAATAGGAAAGCCCCACCCGCCAGGGAAAATCCGGTACGTATAGTTACATATAGACAATTTCCCCATTACACAGCCCAATGGCAGACTCAACGAGCTCTGCTGCGCCCTCGGGCGCGAGCAAGCCCCAAGCGGCCCCGAAGCCGCCTAACCCGGTGTTCAAAATGATGGGTACGTCTCTGTTCCCCAGATTTGACGGTCCAAAAAAATGCTAATACCGCTGTGGCCAATAGGTCTGCCTAATATGCGGTTCAAACTGCCATCTCGCAACTGGATGATCTTCCTTACTATTACTGGATCATTCACCGGTGCCATCATGTACGATCGCCGGGAGAAGCGTCGCGTGCAACAGAAGTGGTCAGAGCTCGTGGCTCATATTTCGAAAGAGACTCTACCAGTCGATCAGATGCGCCGGAAAATGACAGTATACCTGGCTGCGCCACCGGGAGATGGCCTGCGTGTGGCTCGGGATCACTTCAAGGAATATGTCAAGCCTATCCTGGTGGCCGCGGCATTGGACTACACGGTGATTGAAGGGCGACGTGAGGGCGACGTGAGAGCTGGCACGGCGGAAAACATTCGCAAGCAGCGCCGAAAGGCCGGTGAACCTAGCTCAACTGTTGAGGAGGTCGGTGTGGAGGCTGTCATTGCTGCCACCCGGGAACACATTGGGGTCACTGACGAACCCAGCCCCAAGGGCGACTTGGTCATTGGCCGACACACCTGGAAGGAGTATATCCGGGGCTTGCACGAGGGCTGGCTCGGCCCCTTGGATGCGCCACCTCCGCCTCCGGAGGAGGTGAAGGAGTTGGCCGCGGATACAGTGGAGGACGTGAGTGCGGACAAACCCGTTAGTCTCGCGAGCCCCGAGATTGCGAGCATCGATTCCCCCGAGTTCTCCGAAGAGAACAAAGAAGCGATCCCCGAGCCTAAAATCGAGGAACCCGAGAAGGAAGAAGAGAAAGAAGAAGAGAAGAAACCTTCCAAGCCAGCCGGTCCTACTCCTGCATACATCTACCCCAGCGAATACTCATCCGCCATTCTCCCCCACACCATCCCCCAATCCTTCGATAGCTCCGCCCCAGTCGAATTCCCCCATATCCTTGGCTTCCTAAACACCCCGATCCGAGTCTACCGCTTCCTCACACAACGTCACCTTGCCGAGGACGTCGGGCGCCAAGTTGCCGCAGTTGTCCTCGCAAATAGCGCGCGCCCATACCGCGAGGACACCCCCACAGACTCGGAGCCCACCGCCGCCAGCGTTGAGCCCAATCCTTCTCTTGACACCTCGTTCACCGACCTCCCACCTCGCAATTATGAGCAACAAACCGTAATGCAGGCTGCGGAAAGTGAGTGGCACAAGTCTGTGCACAAGCACGAAGAAGACGAGAAGGAGCGCGAGTGGCTCGATGATATTGTGCTTGATCAGCGTATTGCCTCGCGCATGCAGCGCGCCACCCTTTCTCCGGAAGATGAGGCGCGCGCTCAGCGTATCGGCGAGAAGCAGGAATACATTCTTGGCGAGGAGCGTCCAACTCCCGTGCCTTTCTGGAAGCGCATGTGGATCGATTACGGCTACGGCGAGAGTGAAGAGGCCCTGAGACGTAAGCCCATTTTGGGTAACATTGACGAAGATGTACAGTGAAGAGATCTTCAGACGTTTTCTGCTTGATGTTCACAACTTCTAGTCTGGTTGTTTACTATAATGGTTATGGGATAGATTCTTCCCTAGCATCCAGCACGGCATGTGTTGGTCCTTTTTGTTTAGCATATTGTGACTCCCTCCTCGGCTTGTATATTAAAGGCGTTTGATGTCCCATTTTAGAAATGTACATTGATGGAAAAATGTTCCTAAATTTGGAGTAGATTGTTCTACATTTAGCACTTTGGTTGGCAATAGATACTGGTACATTGGTTCTCCCAGCGCCTGTATACTCACTCCACTTGGCATTGGCCAATACCAGAGTATATTTGCTCTCCCCGTGTCTTTCTCTATGTTTTAAACTCCTTTTGTTGTCCCAGCTCCTGCAACTGGTTTTATTGCTAGGTATCTAGGCAACTCATGGTCGAAGCGGGGATGGGGGTGGGAGCTCACACGATCCTCGATTCAGATCAAATCAATTCAGCACAAAGACCGAGGACTCGGGCCACTTCTTGTTCGCCTTCTCGGCGTAAGCAGTCTTATCACTGCCCCACTTGTTCAGTAGGTCCAATGCAATGACAGCCTCGTCGAGAGTGATGTCGGGGAAATCGAGGGTAGCAAGCAGGTCTTGCTCGCACTGCGGCTTAGATTCAGGGTTCAGGAGTTGACGACCAGACAAGCCGGTCTGAACGTGTGTGGCACTGCCCTTGTTGGCCAAGATGTAAGACTCGTTCCACTCTTCGAGCTTCTGGGTCTTTGGGAGTAGCTTGTCAAATTCTGCATTGACAACCTCGGCAACCTGCTCAGGAAGAGGCTCGGCAAGGCTCTCGAGAGACTTGCGGAAGCGAAGTAATTGAAGGTGGAGAGTGGGGTTGGAAGGATCGATAGAATGGGCGGCTGCAAGGCACTTGACGGCAAGGAGGTGCTTGTCTATAATCGTATTAGCATGAGAGTCCCGTCTAAGGATTACCAACTTGACTCACTCTGTCTGGAGTAAACCTCAAATCCAACGCATTGGGCTTCGATGTTCTGGGGGCTGCATTGAAGCAATGGCGTCAAGAACTTCAAGGCATCCTTTAGGGGATCCTGAGTCTGGACCAGGGTGTTGCCCAGAGGATCGGAATCTTCCTTCTTAGTCTCTCCATCAGCACTCTTGGCGGTAGCGGCAGCCGCTTTCCTTGCTGCGCGCTTGTCAGACTCGATCTTTTCCAAGCGCTGCTGTTCCTTCTTGGCCTTCTTGAGAGCCTTCTTCCTCTGATTCTCATCAGTAGAATCAATTCCATTTACTCCGCTGGGCATCGGTCCGTGCACGAGATCCGGCTCGTCGTGGAGAAGTAGGTGGGCCTTGACGGCTCCGATAGCCATTCTTGTGTAGAAGGGATGCTCACGCAGGCGATCTTCCCAGCGCACCATGTCCACGTAGGCCCTGATCATGCCCTTGCGAAGAGAAAAGCCGTGGAAGTCGAACTGATCCTCCTGCCAGGTATCAAAGATGTTATAAACCGAGTGGAAGCGCTTCAGGGCCAGACCGAGCTTCTTCTGTCGGAGGAACGCCTCGGCGTCCTCGGTCAAGAACCAAGTGCACTGCATTTCGTGGAGGTCACCCAAAGTGCCACCGACAGTCTCGTTGCGGGTGAACTTGCTCATAAGTTCCAGACCCTTCTCGTTATCGTTGTTTCGGAGCACATATTTGGCTGCCTTGGTGTTGATATGGCGATCCTTCTCATCTAGCAGTCGAGCCTTCTCCATCTCTTCTGCTGCCTTCTCTGGGTTTCCGTAGTGCTTCCAGATCCGTGCCTTGGACATCTGATATTCCACGGCCTTTGGTGACAGCTCAATGGCCTTCTCAACGTTCTCCATGGCCTTGGGGAGGTTGCGGCTGAGGTGATAGTTGTAGTGTTGAGCCAGGAAGTAGTATGTGCATGACAGGAACTCGTTGCTGTCGCCGTTCGCTTCCGCAGAGCCATTTGCGACCTTCTCGGAGAGATATCCCTCGACTAGTTCTTGTATCACGTCACGCTTGGCCGGGTTAACGTAAAGCTGCTTGATGTTCACGAATAATGAAGGAACACCCTTCTTCAGCGAGCGTTGCAGATAGGCGTCAGCGGCCTGCTTGAAATCTTCACCTTCTAAGAAATCGAGAGGAATGCGACGAGCAGCATCGCAGCGGGGGTTTTTCTCCACCCACCCATCGTACAGAGCCTTCAATGCCTTGTGGTCGTTTTCGGGGATAGCCTTTGCCTTGATCAAGCCATTGTAATAGATCGAGTTGTCTGGGTTGCGCTCCAAGAGAGCTGTATACGCGGCCTCCGCATCGGCCTTACGGTCCAGTCGCAAAAGATAATCCGCCTTCATCTCCATGACTGCGAGCACATCAAGGCATCGGTATCCAACCGCCTCGAGGTGCTCTAGAGCTCTCTCGAGGTTTCCAGTCTCCGCAATGATCGTGTTCTTGTACAAGATGGCCTCCGAGTTCTCCATGTCGGCGACATGTGGGATGGCACCCTTCAATGTGTCCTCGTAGGTAGTCAAAACCTTCTCAGCCTCTGCCAAATCTCCAGCCAAGTGATGAGCGATTGCGAGTGCCGTCCAGTTTTGACGGAAACCCGGGCGAGTTTGCAGCATCGCACTGCGGCTCCGAATATATCCCTGGTAATCCCGCATCTGCATCTGGAGCAGTGCCAGATCACGCTGAATAGGTTGCGATTCAGGTTCGAGGCGCAGAGCAAATCGATATGCTTTGATTGCCTCCTCGTAGTTCTTCTCCTGGCGTAATAGCAACCCATACACGTGCCAGGTGATATGCGACTTCATATCATTCTGGAGAGCCTTCTTAGCGAGCGCAAAGGCCTCCTCCAATTGCCCTATCTGGCTCATGTTCAGAGCCTTCATGGCTTGTGTGTCGCCATGTTTGGGGTTTTTGCGAAGAACCTGGTCTGCTATCTTGATGCCTGGGAAGTAAAATGTGGTTAGACAGGCGTTGGTAGTTCAAGGTCACTTCAGAGGCCAACCTTTCTTATACTGTTTCATCTCAAAGTGGTGAACCACTTGACGAAACAAGGAATGGTCCTTGGAGCTCAATGTTTCCGGCATTGTGGGCGATGCTGACGTCGAGGGACCTGACTTGTGCGAGTGAGGAATCGATGTGTGCGGGGGACGACTTCTCCGAGTCCGATCTTGGCAGAGCTAATAGGCCGATAAGATAGTTAGCCTTCACCAACTTCTTCAGAGAAAGCAGAAGTGAATCAAATGGGGTTAAATCAGGTTAAAATTGATAAAATACATTCTATATTTGTACTCATATGTTCATCAAGGGGGGTATACATAGTAGGGTGTAAAATGCATATCTCGTGACGCACACGTGGTTTCTTGTGTACAATGTTCTTTTGACTTGGGGCAGCAAACAGACAATGCATTCTTTTCTTTGTGCTAAACTTGAAAGGTTTGCTCACTTACTCTTAGAATCTCAAAATCCACCATCTATGGTATGGGTCACCTCTCGTGGGTAGTATCTCCGCGCTGTATACCATACTCCGGATTCCCTTTCTATCCGGAATTCGAAACTAATACGCTACATGTGTACAACAATATTGCAAGCAAAGAGATGACGCAAAATAACAGCAAAAATCACGCTAAGACTGTTCAAACATGTGCAATTTGGGGTGAGATCTCCCCTGGTTTAAAAGAGTAGAGTTATACAGTGATTCTAGTGTACTGCAGCATGCCCCTGCCAGAGGAGTCATTTCTGATGCAAATGGCGCCAGTTATTGAGAGCTTCTTCCCAAGTAGAAGAGCCACCGCATTTTTCTGACACCATCCCCCATGTTCGGGCCCGAATGATCTCTTCAATAGTACGCTCATTGCGAATTAAATTGGCCAATGACTCCGTCCGTGCTTCACGTGGAAAGAAGCGAGCTGAGTACGGATCCAGACGCTCATCAACTTCTCGTTCCCGGTCTCGGGCGGATTCTGTTTGCCGAAGAATCAAGTCCGGATCGTCGGGATCCGGACTCGTAGCCACACCAGCGCAGTAAGTGAGAACGTCTGATCTAGTTTGCCATGAGGGAAATAACACATTGTCCTTGAAGTTCTGGCAGGCTGCAGGGCTGATCCGAGACCTAGATTCAGTTTGTCGCACCAATGTTGATGATGGGTCAAATGCTTCCTGGGCTGGTGTAATCAACGCGTTCAAGTTCTGTGTAATCGAGTCATCGATGGTAGATCTTGAGAGTCGGAGAAAGTCTGAACAAAAATAGGGAAGTCAATATAGGCTGCTATCAAGACGTCACATTTCAAACGAACCTCTGAGTAGTCTCTCATCAAAACAGAACCGAGGGGTCAGCGCCGGAGCAGCTGTGGATGAGGCCTGTGACATCCTCCCACGAATTTCCTTCCCACCTTCTCGATTCGACTTGATCCAGAACCACTCCAGTTTGTAGTGAGGACGTGTATAACGTTATTGATGGCTGTAGGTCGTCCAACAGCGTTGTATGGTGTACCGTTGGTGACTGTTATATTCAATGTTGAAGTATATTTCACTGAGACCCGGTATGATCTGGTATACCTATTCCAAGGACGGCAACAGTCATGGACAACACAAGCTCTCCGTGCCCACTAGGTGCCCAGGTGGACCGTCGTTATGCCGTAATCAGCCTTAAGCTCTGGGCCGTTTTGGGACTAGCTCATTCAATGATATTCACGTGACAGCGCGTACTCGTGTTTCAGGAGCATCGCGTCCCTGCTTATGCCAGATGGTCTTTCGGAGAAAACGCACTTGTACATACCCTCGAATTTATTTATTGCATGTTTATCACGTTCATACTTGAAACATCATATCAGCATGCCCGAGCTAGCCGAGGTCCACCGCATTGTGCATTTCATTCGTGAGCACCTGGTTGGGAAAACGCTGGGCAAAGTACAAGCACAACATGATGATATCGTATTTGGCAAAGTTGGCACTAGTGCCGCTGAATTTCAAAAGGCAATGGAAGGGAAAAAGGTCGTGGGGGCAGGCCAACAAGGGAAATATTTCTGGATCGCAATGTCTTCACCACCACACGCTGTGATGCACTTTGGAATGGCTGGTTGGTTGAAGATCAAGGATGCCGACACATACTACTATCGAACCGACAAGCCTGCAGATCAGGAGTGGCCACCCAAATATTGGAAGTTTCTGCTAGAGACAAGTGACGAGCCGAAAACAGAGGCAGCATTTGTGGATGCCCGCAGGCTTGCTCGCGTGAGACTGGTGGATTGCCCTGCTGATGAGATACGAAATCATACTCCGCTCAAGGAAAATGGGCCTGATCCGGTCGCCGATAAAGACACTGTGGATGAAGCATGGTTGACAGAGAAGCTGGGGAAGAAGAAAGTGCCGATCAAGGCTCTACTACTCGACCAGGCGAATATTAGTGGAATCGGAAATTGGATGGGGTACGTCTTGCAGGCAAACATAAACAATGAAATATATGGAAGCTGATTATTTCTTTAGCGATGAGATTCTCTATCAAGCCAAGATACACCCAGAACAATACAGCAACACTTTGAACGGCGACCAGATCAAGGCATTACACTCTGCCATTCACTATGTCTGTTCCACATCTATTGGTGTACTGGCAGACTCAGAGAAGTTTCCCGATCACTGGCTATTCAAGCACCGCTGGGGCAAGGGGAAGAAGAACCAGCCCGCCGTCCTACCCAATGGGGATAAGATCACATTCCTTACTGTTGGGGGTCGAACAAGTGCCGTTGTTCCAGCTGTCCAGAAGAAGACTGGCCCTGTCGCCAAAGATATTAACGAAGACGTTACAAAATCCACACCAGCTAATTCGAAACGCAAACGTGCGGCCCTAAAGAAAGAAAGCGACTCCGAAGCAGAAGAAACGACAGAGACAAAGCAAGGGAATCCAAAACAGAAGAAACCCACTATAAAGAGTGAGGACTCTGAAGAAGAAAAGGCGAAGCCCGCTATTGTTGACAGAAGACGATCTACCCGTACATCTAAGTGAGGTGTGTATGAAACCCAGCCATGTATGACTGCATCCAAGCAGCTATTTCTAAATGAATACCGTCAGTTTCAAATTTTATTGTTGCCATTTTTGATATTTTGGTTGAATAAGCCATGCCTGGAGGGTAATCTACTAGACAAAGCCTATGGATTAGCCCATCCATCAATGGCTATACTTAGTTCAATCCCGAACAATGTGTTTTTGTATCACATAGTTCTATTGTTCGATTACAAAGAGCATTCGTCTGTCATTGTATGCGATTGATATATTAAGTCCCTAGATGGCCCCTTTGAGATATACCAGTCTCCAGTCTCATTCGGACCCAATCAACAAGTCTACCATCGAGTAATTACAACCCTACTTTTCCAAAGCCTCGATTATACTTGACTACACCATGAATTCGTCAAAGATGGCTGACTCATGGGATGTCTATGTTGTATTCCGCCAACGAAGAGGTAATGACCCTTTGCATTGGATGCTTTTACTTTCTATCCCTGGATCACTGTATTGTACGTGGTATCATATCGTCGGAGGCCCGACAGAGAATCGGGCCTACGAGCGCAAGATTGAAGCCGGGAAGAGAATCGACAGTTATAGTATATCAAAGAGGCAATATGTCGGCAAAATTTCCGCATGGAATATCAACAAGGCCAAGTCAGAGATAGTAGCAGTCCCTATTCAAGAATCTCAATGCTGGACAGTAGAAGTGCTTGCTGCACTTGAGCGCAAATCCCTGGTTCCTGCTAGCACCAGTGTTTATTATTATAATCAGATGGAGCCTTCTATCAGAGAAACTGAAGATGGCTGGGTCTTGCTCTCCGGAACTCTTGAAGAGGAACTAACTATTGAATAGACCTGTAACGACTAGGTGCTACAGACCAGCATGGTTGGAAGTGAGAATTTCCTGCTGATTGGAGATTCGGAATGTATAATGCTGTTCTTTTTTCTGCGCATGCAAGTCCGTCACTGATTTTCCTTTTACAAATTTCTTTACACATTTGTGCTTTTATGCTCCTAGTCAAAGTTTTATTTGGAGTTTATAGTTCCCAGTTTCTTGACAATGCATGTATTTTCAGCTCAGTCTCTAGTGACTTATAGGAAATGTAGAGATGAACTCTCATCAGCCAGTCACCTGTCTCTCCTGGATAGGGCTGGTGAAGACGAGTAAGAGAGACGGTTGTCCGGACTCCACGTTTCAGTATAGTAACAGCGGTCCTCATGATGCCAAGATACTGGTTCATGTTATCAATTCAATTAGCGAAGAGTAGCAAGAAGAATCTATGGGTGGCAATAGATAATAGCTGTTGTCAGAGTCAAGAATGGTGGTTATGTTAAGCCTACCTGAAAGCTATGGTGGGCGGAACTACATTATGAAAAGGACCTAGGCATGTATGCACATATGTATCTATCTATCTACACTGTAATCTGAGTCCCTTCATTAGACCACTTCTTCAACACATAACTTGACTTGAAGGATCTGGTATAATTTGCGCCTGCCTCAAGAGTCCTGAATTTCCCCCAAATGGAAATTGAGCCTACGAAGATTATCACATGTTCAACCCATCCAGTGTCTTTGTGAAAACTGCGAGATTTTCCTCATGTGTCCCATCTTTAATTACAAAATGAATCTGCTCAAACCATCCCTTGAACTCGGCTTTCTCAAGAGCCTCTTTCCAACAATCGGCGACCTTCTGGGTGGGGTGAGAAAAAACCCCACAACCAAGGGCACCGAGGATCAAGCGGCGATGATTGTTGACTGCTGCCGTGCGTAGAATTAATCGCATCTTGTCTACCATGAGGTGTCGTTGCCCGGGCTCTATGTAATCCGATTTGTCGGCCGTCAGATCAGGCCTGTTTCGCGCTGCCATGCTGATGACACTAACAGAGGGGTTCAGGTGTAGCCTGTCGTCCGCCGACATGAAGCTATAACCATTGTCCGCGCTATTTCGGTAAACAATAACGTTGGGCGAATAGAGGCATTCCAGATCTCCCATTGGGTAAAGCCGAGGTTGGAGGGCCCCAATGAGTGTGCTTCGATAGCAAAGCTGTTCCTCCTGGGCCGTAGCACCTTTGAGCCAGCCCCCGCCTGGTGTGTTAGCATTGGCAAAGTTGAGAACACATACTGGCATACAATCGCGGGTGTTGCCAGCAGCTTGCATCTCGAGAGCCCGGTCATATGTGTCTCCCGGCACGACCTTAACAACAGTGGTAAGATCTGGAAACTCCGCGGAATCAGGCTCCAGCCGAAGAACGGTGTGTTTGTTCGCCACATAACTAAACCGAGTTCCCTCCAACTCCGTTTTGGACAAAATTTGTCCCGTGGTTTTCTGTGTTATTTTGACCACCTTCAGCATTTCCTTCTTCGTGTAAGACTTGCTGACTCCACCACCCTTGCTTCCAAGTGGATTATTAGGATTCTGTTTCTTGAGCAAGGACTTTGCGGCGGGATTCTTGACAGGAGCATGACTAGGCTTTTGTTTGCGGCGGGTGCGAAGGGTTGCTTTCTCACGAGTGCTCATTCTTTTTAACATTCGACTTAGGCCACCACTGCCGCTGCTGCCTTTGCTTGCGGCAGGTGATTGGTTCGCGGGCTGGGAACCTATTGACTGTTTGGACTGTGCCGAGGAATCGGATTGGGTAGGCGCTTTATTTTCTGCCATAGCTCTTTTTTTCGTATTGAATGTAATAGATATGCGAAAGAAACAGCAAAGTTGCTAATTTGATGAAGACGAGGGTTCCATGGGGTCTTTATGGCGCATATTAACTCACCAATTGATTACATATAATAAAGTATAGTTGCCTACATACGACGTGAAGGGTTAAGAGAGAACAAAGACTCGAGACTCGAGCAGAGGGAAGTCGAAGTTGAAAGAAACATCAACAGGTCACGTGCATACTTCCGATCCGACCAATCAGGGAAACTGCGGCCCGCATAAGGCGGTGAGCTTATCTCCGATCTCGCCACCATGACAAAGCATGCAACGCCGTTGGCTTGTCGCCTTCTTACAGAACTATTTTAATTCGAAGTCTTTATTCTGATTATATGCAATCAAATCAGCCAAATATAGGTCATTTCTTTCAATTTAACCACGGCCATCCAAAGCAGTTCCCGCCACAATGAGCGCGATCCTGTCAGCAGACGATCTGAATGATTTCATTTCGCCGGGGGTCGCGTGTATCAAACCAGTTGAAACTCTACCACAGAAAGATACAAAGAATCAAGAAGTATGTCCTTTTATTGATCTTGATGGGGATATGTACTATTAGAGTTTCTTCTACTGACTTTCTAATTATAGGGCGCCTATGAAGTAACTACGGAAGACAAAGTCGAGCCCGAGAATCTACCCCCCGCACAGATTTCTTTGACAGACTGCCTCGCTTGCTCTGGTTGTGTTACATCTGCCGAAGCAGTGTTGATATCACTCCAATCTCACGCCGAGGTTCTCAATACACTTGACGCTCATCCGGAGATTCCCTTGGCGCATGAGGACCATGGAGTGGTAGTCAATAATACTAAGGACTCTGGAGAGGGTAAGATCTTCGTGGCCAGTGTCAGCCCGCAAGTCAGGGCAAGTTTGGCAACAACCTATGGGATTTCAGAGAAAGAAGCGGGGTACATGATCAACCAACTACTTAGTGGTCCGCAGGGCTTGCGAAGTGGGGGTAAATACGGAAATGGGTTTACATGGGTTGTCGATACCAATGCCATGCGAGAGGCTGTGCTAGTACTCACTGCAGACGAAGTTTCGGACTCTCTCAGCTCAGCGAACTCGTCAACGGCTAACCAGTCGGAGGACTCTCTCCCCAAGCGACCTATTTTATCATCAGCATGTCCTGGATGGATTTGTTATGCTGAGAAGACTCACCCTTTTATCCTTCCACATCTTTCTCGACTCAAGTCCCCGCAGGCTCTTTCGGGGACGTTCCTCAAAACAGTTTTAAGCAAGTCTCTCGGGGTCCATCCTTCTCGGGTTTGGCATTTGGCAGTCATGCCCTGCTTTGACAAGAAGCTAGAAGCTAGTCGTGAAGAACTCACAGATGTCTCCTGGCGACAGGGGGATTCCACGAGCTCTGAGACACAGCCTGTTCGTGACGTAGACTGTGTTATCACTGCTCGTGAGCTTCTATCTCTGGCTTCATCTCGAGGATTATCACTGCCAAAGCTGCCTTTGCAGCCTCTGCCTTCGTCTTTCACCCCATCCTTGCCTGAAAGAGCCCTTAATTCCTTTCTTTCCTTCAAACGCTCTGGGGCGGAACAATCACTTGCTACAGGTACTTCTGGGGGCTACCTACATCACGTTCTCACGAATTTCCAAGCTCGCAATCCAGGCAGCGAACTTGTGATCAACCGCGGACGCAATGTCGATGTCGTCGAGTATGTGCTCATGTCTCAAGAGGGTCAACCCATTTTGAAAGCAGCTCGCTATTATGGTTTCCGGAATATTCAAAACCTTGTCCGGAAGCTCAAGCCCGCACGCGTTTCGAGGCTTCCCGGCGCAAAACCAGCCGCCAGACCCGCCGCAGGTCGGCGCCAGCCTATATCTCGCAACGCCGTGTCCACAAGTAGCTCAGGATCAGACTACGCATACGTGGAGGTCATGGCCTGTCCTGGTGGGTGCACGAATGGCGGTGGCCAAATCCGAGTTGAGGACGCTAGAGAAACCATTGGGCCTTCCCAAGGAGAGACGCTGGATACATCTATGAAGCCATCACCTCATGAGCAGCGCGCGTGGCTTGCTCGCGTCGACGAGGCTTATTTTTCCATGGATTCTGAGTCCGAGTGTGAAGTGCAGACTCAGTCTCAGCTGTCTTCATTGGCTGACAAGGAGGCTAAAATTCATGAAAGCTTGCGGCGCTGGTCAGAATACATGGACATTCCGCTCTCTAAGCTCGTCTACACTACCTACCGCAAGGTAGAAAGTGATGTTGGCAAGGATCAAACACCTGCTAATGATACGAGTCGGGTTGTGGAGCTTGCGGGGAAGATTGGTGGTGGTTGGTAACTTTTGTCTACTTCTCTTCGCTTCTGCGAAATCCACCCTTGACATGGTCTTCTTCGTAGTCTCTTATTTACTTCATTTGCATGGCGCCGGTGTTGATTCTACTTGCACATTTTTGGGAGATATACCACATTTTCATTTTTGAAGTCACGATCGACGATACATGAGGTGCTGAATTGTTTTAAGCTTATGACACGATAGATACATAGAAAAATGGTCTCAATACCTTCTACAATCAACATTGAATGATATTAACGAAGCTCAAAACTGCAAATTTCATAAAAAAAAAAACCAGATAGATATTTTTATACTTCCAGATCGGGCCTGGACGCGATGACTAATATGTCAAATCCATCCATGGGTGACTAAGCACCTAAAATCGCGGGCTCCAGAAAGAAAAAGAATTGAAGTATCTTGGCATAGAACCAGTTTCCATCTCACAATTCTCATCCTCCCACCCGACACGAACAACTCTCCCGCGCAAAATAATCACTTCACCACCACACTCAATCCCAAACAATGTCTCGCGAAGCCTACCAGGTCCCCTCGACGGGCGCCCAGAACAACTTCGACACCCAAGGCGGAGGTTTCGGCAATGCCATGGCCATCGACAGCCCCTCAGTCACCTACCTATGTGGCGAGTGCTCTGCTCGTGTTCCCCTGAAGCGTGGCGACCAGATCCGCTGCAAGGACTGCGGTCACCGTGTGCTGTACAAGGAGCGAACCAAGCGGTAAGATTTTCTTTCCTGGAATTATCCTGCGATATGCGCAAGACATGGGCTGATTTGTTTTTGCTTCATAATAGTATGGTTCAGTTCCAGGCTCGGTAAACGTTTCATCTGCCCAAACATGAATCGGACCTTTGCAGGTTGTGATGGGCTCAAGCGGAATCAGCCTGAGTTCCTTTAGTTGAAGACTTTATTTTTGACGAATTATGCATACAATGGCGCTTTGGGGTTGAATTACGCAAACCAGTTTTTCTATGGTCTCAGTCTACAAGACCCATATACGATGTTCTCGCCATGTCCTCTAGTCCTAGTCCAAGCCTGGGCCTGGGAGGGGGCAGGCTTCGGCCTTTATTTAAGGAACAATTATAGTTGTTTTCAAAAAAATTAAAGGCATTTATTCATAGAGTGTTGGACTCAATTACCCGAAATATCCATTATCTAAACGTACACCAATGCCCACAAGGTGAACCCATACATAACTCGAACCCGAAATTTCCTTGAACCCGAAATGGCCATATCACACTAAATCCAGGCCTACAAAACTAGTCACTGCAATATTCTACTTTAAAGCTGGTTAGTTACTTCAATGAATTGCTCAAGGTTTTTCAGAGACTGTCCGCTCTCGATTGCCCAGCGTGCGCGACGCACGCCTTCTTTCCAGCGGCCACCGCCAGGGCCACGTTCCGTGATGACCTGTCCGTCATCGCCCGGTCCCATGTTGCTGGTATCGGCCTCGCAAATGCCAGAGGTAACAAGCAGACCAGCCACATTCATGAGAACAAACTCCAGGATGGGGTCATCCCGTGGAAGCTCGTTCCGAAGTATGCTCATCAGCTTTGCCGCGTTTTGCTTGGGCAGTTTACCTCCGCCAACCTCACTAAGAGGGTGGCTAGAGAGGCCAAAGTCCGACGGCTGGAGCTGGAAAGTATCGAGTTTGACGAGTGTACGAGGATTGTCGGTATCCTCTTCAGATGAGTCATCTGCATCGTCTTCTGGTCTGTATGCAGGGTTTGGGTACTCAGAGAGTCTCCAGCAGTTTGTCTTTCCAGCGCAGCTAATTTCATCCATATCCTCTTCGCCACAAACAATCATAGCTTTCTTCGCTCCGCTTTGCTTGAAAGCCTCGGCAAATACTGGACCAAGGCTCTGGTATGCTACGCCAACTACACGTGCTTCCAGTGCCCAATCAACGGGATTTGCCAAAGGGCCCATCAGGTTGAAAATCGTTCGGAGGCCAAGACCCCTGCGGACAGGGTTGGAATGCATCATTCCCGGGTGGAAATTGGGAGCGAACAAGAAAGAATAGTTGGTTTTCTCGTAGACTTGGGCCAGATTCTCGGCGGTGATAGCTGCGATTTTGGGCGGCACTGGCTGAATAGCATTGAGGACGTCGGCGGCCCCAGAGGTGGATGTTTGAGCACGGTTGCCATGTTTGGCAGTCAAGAGAAGAGGAGATGCAATGATCGAGGAGGAGGTTGAAATGTTAAAGGTCGAATGGGAGTCTCCTCCGGTTCCAACAATATCACACTAGACATTGTGCCTTGTCAATATAACTCAGCGATAAAATGGATGAGGTCGTACCAATCCACCGTGATAATTTCCTGTTCTCAGAGTACGAGACTTGATAATCTTCTTAAGCGGACCTTTCTCAACCTGGCAAGCAGCATCTCGCATGCATTGAGAACATTTCGCAATCACATCAGCCTGCCTATCCTTGCCAGTTGAGTGGAGCAATGTGAGGAGGGCGGCAGTCTGGATTTGAGATAGTCGATCCTCGAAAATCAGTGCAAA